CATACGTGCTGGTTGTTACGCTTCGCTGAATTCTGGATTTTTAGTTCGTCTGGTTATACCGATATACGTACGAAAATCAATTCTCACATGGAGTTTTAGCGAGAGATCTTCCATTGATTTCGGAATGCGGGACCAGCTTGCGACATGTTTATACTGAAATGAGAAGCCTAAGGGCCAGCCTATATGAAATACATCCGGTAGATTCACACGCATTGGCGACCGGTATTTACAGCATAAGTTTGACGAATAACTAAGAGACCCCGCTTAACTGATGGGCCCCAATGTTTTGGGCTGTCGAAGAGTTTTTATAAATATTGTGGATAGTTATCCTCATGTAAATACACTGTCTTAGGTATCTTTCTTACTGGATAGATGAACACTCCCACCACGATATATTTTCATAAATTTTCATGGACCTGAAAGTTCACTGAACTCTGTGCGGCATTCTTTGGCAATGCGACCAACACCCGATCCAGACTATTGAAACCGCTGGAAGCCGCGAGTGTGGCCCCTAATATTAAAGTTATAAACCAGGTTCTGGAAGGTACTTGTAAAATATCCAGCCTCTATGACGCAGAATTGCTTTTTCAGGTTGGTAGGATTTTTCATTGGAAAGAGGCTGGTCTTCTTCGGGCGTTTTCTCTAATCATCAAAGACAAAGACACGCCTAATTCGTCACATCCTGTTTTCGTCCCCCAGCGGCTATTGCGACCACACACATTTGGAACAGTGAGGGCGCTTTCCGTCGGAATTTGTATGAACCTGACTACTGCCGAGTAATCAGTATTGTTTTCGACATTTTCCGGTCTACAGTAAACGGGTCGGGTCTATACAAACTGACCGACCGATTGTGCTTTACACTTGTCGATTTCGATTCAAGATTTCCAAACCGGTTACTTTCAATTAGTCAACTGTAGTAATTTAGTTCTGCACGTATATCGGTGTAGCCAAACGAGGCAGGAATTGAAGATTCAGCACGGCGTACCAAGTAGCATGTATGTATTCGAACTGAAGTTGGAATATCAAAGCAAGAGAATAATGAATAGAGCAATGAATAGAGAATAAATCACATCAGCTAAACTATCCAAAATCTACATATCCTGC